GGGGAGGAGGGGGAGGGGAGGAGGGGGAGGGGAGGAGGATGAGAGAGAGGAAAGAAAAATAGACCTAAACTTTTCTTTTAAACCAGCTTTTGCTGTTGTGCCGTAAGCTCTGAAATGAAGTGGCTTCCTTTTCATTATTTTTCACTTTATAGTTTGAGTTTTGATTTCTTCTTTATCCTTTCTTATTTTTAAATAGTTAATACATTTGGATTCTGTTTAATTTTGATTTCTTTTTATTGGGTTATTTTTTTAAAAGGTCTCTACATTCATTAAAAAAAAAGTTAAGTGTTTTTGTGTAGCCTCTCACATAATCCATTTTCTATGGACAAAGTCAAAAATTTATTTTCTCTGTTTCAAAGAAACAACGAAACAGGGGTTTATATCCATCACGTCAATTTTATTAATTGCATTATATAATTACTCCATATCCATACTTTTTTTTTAACCTGTTTAACTCTGAAAGAGGTGAATTGAGGTCTTCCACAATAATTTTATTTTTTTTAAGTTCTCCTGAGATTTCCAATAGCCTTTGCTTTATATAACTAACTGTTCTGTTGTTTGGTACATATATAGTGCATCAAAGATGCTGTTATATCTTTTTCAGATATTGTGTTTTCATTATTACATAAGGCATAAGGTCCTTCTTTGTCTTATTTATTGTTTCTAATCCTAAATTTTAACATCTGATATTAATAATGCCACTCCAATCTCTTTTTGTTTCATTAGTCTGGTATCTCCATCTTCACTCCTTTATTTTCAGGCTTTCTTTATTGCTTTAACGATATTTCTTATAAACAGTATACAGTCATCCATTTGTATCAACAGGGGATTGGTTCCAAGGCCCCCAACAGATACCAAAATCCATGATGCTCAATTTCCTTATATAAAATGGAGTAGTATTTGTATAAAACCTATACACATCCTCCCATATACTTTAAATCATCTCTAGATCACTTATAATACCTAATATAAATGCTATGTAAATATAGTGTAAATGTAACTAGTTGCTGGTGCTAGGCAAATTCAAGTTTTGGTTTTTGGTATTTTCCAGAATTTTTTTTTTTGGACTATTTTCTATCTGTGGTTGGTTGAATCCACAGATGTAGAACTCATGGATACAGAGAGCTGATTGTATAGTTAAGTGTTATTTTTAACTCAGTCTGAGAGTCTCTGTTTCTTAAAGAGAAAATTCAACCAGTTCAAATGTAGTATGACAGATACTTGATATCAATATTTTTATGATATTATGTTTGTTCTTTCTCATTTTCCATACATTTTAAAATTAATTCCATTTCTCCTTATTTTGGAAGTCTTCTTATATTTTCTATTCAGGTAACAGTTAACTCTTCTATCAATTCAGATTATAATTGAGAGTAATACAATCAGTGTTTTATAAAAAATAGTGTAATGAGTGTGTGTGTGTGGGGGGTGTCTGTGCTGCACTTGAATCAACTTAAGTGCTTTTATTATTTTTCTTGTCAAATTATCTCTGCCTCCTCTAGCATCTTTATCTGTTTTATTTATTTAGTAGCTGATTGCTGAATGAGCTGGACTTGGCAGGATGAGCAAACAGGAAAAAACTTTATTTTTTCAGATTTTTTTCTGACTGTTAACCCTACAAAATTACTATGTTTGCTTATTCCTCCCCATCCCTAGGTGAAACCTCTGGCAATTCTCATAATTTTGCCCTTTTCTCCATTACATCCTGCCTGGCTGGCCACCGTCTACTTGCTGTGCCCCTTTAGATGGCTTGCTGTTTTTCTTAATTGGCTCAGGGAAGCTCAGGTCTGTTTTTTGCAATATCTAGTGACCACAGTTGTGTAAACGGTAGAAGGTAAAGTCCTGCCCATTATGGACTGGTACTATAAAAGCAAGCAGAACACGACCCCTGTTGAGGCATCTGAAGGAAAATTCATGGACCTCTGACTTCCCAGTTTTTTCATAGGTTTACAGTTTCCTTGTTGGTCTCCTGGGGACCGATGAGACCAGGAACACTTACTTACACAGGACCAAAGACAACCTTTCCCTGGGGCAATCCACAGATCCCAATTGCTAGCTAGTCCCTGGATACAGCACAACTTCCGTTATTACCTTCTAACTCAGAGACTGGTTTCCAGGGCCATATTCAGATCTCAGCATCAGAATATAAACCACGTCTAACCTTGCACCCCACGTCTTGCAGATGCCAGCATCTATTTGGCTGAGGAGATAATAGATTAAATCTGAGAGTGGAAGAGAAAGGTGCTGAGTTTATGTCACCATCTTCCCAGAATCCACTGCTCCCTGCTGTCCAGCTATGTCAATGGCCAATCCTCAGCCAAATGGAATTTTAAAGTTGATTTAGTGCCTTTCTAAAGGATAAAACTCACAAGCTCCAGCAGAAACTTCCAAAAATAACATACAGAATCCTCAGTTCTAATTTGAGTCTACTTTGGGCTGAAGTCTGGACACTGATTGTAGTTAGGTTTAGCATTTAATTTAGAAAAGATGGTAGTAAGACACTTTGGGGAACATCTTTTAAGATGTTATGCTTACACTAAGAGCAGGAGAAAGGATGGGAATAAAAAGGGAATTTTAAATGAATGCTTACCATACTCAAGATACTCCACACTGTTGTTTCAATCTTAAAAATGATAATGCAGTAAAATAAGGTATTGTTGTCCTCATCTTAAGGCAGGGATACGGAAAAGTGAGACTCAGATAGTTTACATTATTTGCTCAAGTTTACTCATAACTGCCCAAACCCAGGGCCTACACCTGTTTCTCTTGTACTGAATGTCAGGAAACCTTACCATCATTACTTGGGCTATTATTAGGTATATTTTCTCTTTCTTGTCATTTTTATTGTTAGTGGTTAAGAAGAGTCTGTGTTTTCTCTTCTGAGCCAGCAGGGTAGTTAGGGAAACTATTGTGCTTTGCAGTGAACAAGGGAGGAATGAAAAGGGGGGTGGGGTAGAGGTAGGGGGAGAATGGATAAGATCAAGCAAAGAGAGCGAGAGGGTCAATCCCTGTTTTCTGGAAAGAAGGGAAGAGGACTTCATGACTTTGAGTTGCTGCAGCTGCTGCTTCTCGTCCCCAGCCAGTAACAAAAAGGAAGGTAAAGAGCCAGGAAAGCTTGTGTGTTTCCACCCGACCACTTCCTACATACCCGAACCCACCACCTCCTCTTGAACCCTTTTTCTCTTGCTCTTCCCTCATTTACAAAGTCTCCAGTTACACTACCTTTCCTTCATCTCCATTTTCTCTCCTTGTCATCCTATTTGAGAGCCAAAATCTGCCTCTACTGTGAAAAGACACCCGAGAGTAACACTGATGACACACAATAAAGAAAACCTCCAGTCAGTGGAAAGAGAGAAGCCTGAACAAGTTTACCTCCTTACCCTGGAAAGGTTCCAAAAGACCTCCAAAACCTTCCTTTAACGGAAATGCTTCTAATTAACCTCAAGTACTAACAGTTAAGATTTTTTTTTCAAAGTCCTTAAACTAGCGGATTACCAATGAACTCTTCAAATGCAACTTGTTTCTAAGGTGAATTCCGTCTTTATAGTGTTTGGGTTCACGAGAAGTTAATGAGTAGATAAAATAGCAATATAATAATATAATTAGAACTTTTAATCCTTTAAGGATTTGCTGCCAAAATTATTTAGCTTATTAAAGATAAGTTATTCTTTTAAATTATTTAGCCATTCAGAAAAAAGTCAAAGTTATACTTGGTAAAGGCATTATATAGTAAAGAAGTTCCAACGTTTACTAACAAAAAGGTATTTGAAATTTTACAAAGTCTTTTAATTGCATGAATTGCTAAAGTAATACTAGTTTCTAATGATTATCCGAAATGCTGCTACGACGATTAATTCCACACGCATCAAGTTAATGGTATATTTGTCTTGTTTGATATCCAATTATGGAGCAAGGTTATTGACATTATTTGGCTTCCGACAGCAAATCTCCAGAGTCAGTCTGTGCCATTCTTGGTCCTGAATCTACTTTACTATAGGAATGCTGATGATTGAGGGATCTAATTGAGATAAGAGAAATTCCTGAACTAGTTTCTCTTGTTGATCATTATTTCCTAATTTTGTCCTCTTATTTACTAAAAATAGTATACCACTGTTGGTTTGTAATTCCAATTTCTATGCTTTGTTTTCTTCTACCATCCACTAGAACATTACCATTTAGACAAGAATTTCTTCTGTGATCTTGGAACTTTATTTGCTTCTTGTTACCTAAATTTTGCTGTATAAACAATATTTTATGAGGTGCTTAAGTTTTACTTGACAAGTTTAACAAATCATCCAATGGTGTTACATTATTTATTTTATGGACTTTGAGTATATTTTCTGAAGGCTTTGAGCAATATGTGACAGGTGAGGCACTCAATTTGCTCATTGGTTTTACTGTAGAAAACATTTTTTCAAATTTGCCAGTTTTAGCACTCATTTCTTGAATCACAGTTTTATCAAGGAAACCCACAGCTTTTTTTGTTAGGCTGGAAAAAGTCTGTGAAAAGTTATAGAGTTTACTCCAAGATATGTTTTCAAATGTCTGCTTGCTAGTTTTCTTCCTTAGTTTATCATCTACAACTCTACGGCTTACTTCAAAAGATACTGCTTGTATAGCTTTCTTCTGTGTTGTAGGCAGAGTTCTTTTGGGTTTGGAAGGAGTAATAGATTGACCTCTAGCTACAGATTTGAGCATTTCACAATTTCTTTCTAAAACAATATTTGATCTTTTATATGGGTAACCATTTCCATTTTCCATAGAATGGGGAGGAGGCCTGTTTTTTGTCAAAAGTAACATTTGTACATATCCAGTCTCATGGAAAATTATGGGATTTGTATCATTTTGTTCCTGTGGATTAAAGAAGAGAGTATTCGTCATCAGTCTATTGAGGCAAGAAGGCTATAATTTTTAAAACATGAAAATAAAATCGTATTCTAGAAATGACTACATAGAAGTTTTTAATATAAACAATAATGGTATTTAAACATATAAAAAAGATGTCCTTGTATGTGACACACTTCTTTCTCTTGACACTCTGTTCAGATGTTAGGAGTAAAATCTGAACTTTTGGCCTCCTAAAACCCTTTTTGAAATAGAGTGAGATATAAAGAAATGTTTGGTGTTGTCACTGGGAAATATGATAGTTGGTGGGATGGAACATTGTTCTGTCATTTCTTAGGTTTCCATGTCCAGAAATAAGCAGCATACCAAAAAATGGATTGAGTCAAAAATCAAAAGAAATATAACCGCTTATAAGCCAAAATTACAGTCTGAGTATCCTAATAAGTTCAGACAGTGTAAAATTTTCTTTAAAATAATTCTATTCATTACTATACCCCAACATTTAGCACAATACTTAGCCCAATAAAAAGTGCTCAGGGCTTCCCTGGTGGCGCAGTGGTTGAGAGTCCGCCTGCCGATGCAGGGGACACGGGTTCGTGCCCCGGTCCGGGAAGATCCCACATGCCGCAGAGCGGCTGGGCCGGTGAGCCATGGCCGCTGAGCCTGCGCGTCCGGAGCCTGTGCTCCGCAACGGGAGAGGCCACAACAGTGAGAGGCCCGCGTACCGCAAAAAAAAAAAAAAAAAAAAAAAAAGTGCTCAATATATATCTGTGGAATAAAATAGCCAAAGTAATAGACTGACTTAAAAATAGATTACTTTTATCACAGTAGTAGCAACATCTGTATGTATGAGCTACTCACTGAACCATTTTCCACATTTCCATTGCAAGGAAAACAGATTAACTCCACAGAAACTCATCAAATATGAGTAGAGCTAGTGTTTAGTTTGTAAACTTTAAGTCAATGACTGCTACTTTTCTTTTAGAAATATAATTAATGAAGTTAGAAATTAGGATCATCTAATTGTATATAGTGTCTTTAGTGTGAAAGGCATATTAATGCATATGATCACTGAAAAAATGACAAAAGATCTAGTTTTGCAATCCACTGGTGATGCCCATGTTACCTATTTAGTGATAGTAGTAGAGGTTTGTCAAATTTTGGGGGCTGTCTAATCAATACCTTAGGGAATTTTCCACCTTCCGAGTCAAAGTACACTTAGGTAGAGGCAAAAACTCGCTTTATCAGCCTCGCTTGAGGTTAGGGCGTAGGTGTGTGACCTAGGCTCTGCCACTCAGACACACCTAAGACAGTCTTCAGTTCAGAAAAAGCAAGCATTTTGAAAAGTAGGCATTGTGTAAACTATTCTAGCGAGGATGGTGGTAGATATATCTAGCGGAAGGGCAGCACTGGCAAAGATCTTAGAAACAGTGCTCCCTGCCCAGAGTCAGAGTTGTAAACTTTTATCTGTGACAACAGCATGGGCCCCAGTGGAGCAACCTGGGGCTGTAACAGGGTTAGTCCTGATTGGAGAGCTTTCAAGCCAGATTGTCTCTCCAGCATCCTAGAGACTCTGAGCTACCAGATGGCCTTTAATAAATGTATTTTCTGGTTGAAATAGTTAAAATAGATTGATAGAAAAGTGAAACATAATCCAGTCATTTAAAAAAATACCATCTTTATATTTCTTTTATAATCAAGAAAATTTGATAAATCGTTCTTTATAAAGAAAAACACAAAATTTTCAGCTGGTGCAGAGGAATCCCCAGATTTGGGGTGGAGGTTCTAAAAAGAACACTAAGAATTTGTGTTGTTGTCACTTCAGAATATGAAGCCAAGAGGGTAGGAGAATTTATCAAAGATTCTGGGCACTGGAATATGACATTCCCACAAAGAGTAATAATACACATTCTTACTGAACAGTAGTAGATGTTTTTATTACCGTGTAAGAAGTTGCTGTCTTTGCTGGACTAATGTCGATTATCTTGGCATTTGACTTGTTCAGTTCATCCTCAAAGCACAAGGGGAGCAAGCTTTTCTTTCTTACCGAATACTCATTTAATTGATCATTTCTGATGGATTTATTTTCTTTTGTACTAAAATCATTCATCTCTGGAGGAGATTTTATTCTGAAAATGAACACAAGTTCAGCATAAATGTTTATAGGGCTTTCAGCTTGTCTGTTCTTGTCTGCCTTTCCCATTCCTCAACATCATTACTGCTATAGAACAAACGTATGGACACCAAGGGGGGAAAGCGGGGGCGTGGGGTGGGTGGGATGAATTGGGATTGACATATATACACTAATATGTATAAAATAGATAACTAATAAGAACCTGCTGTATAGCACAGGGAACTCCACTTCACTGTACAGTAGAAACTAACACAACACTGTAAAACAGCTATACCCCAATTTAAAAAAAATCACTACTGCTAACATCTCCCTCAAACCCTCTGCCATACTTTCAATCTGACAAGACCATCTTTTCCTGCTTGGTTTGTGGGGGAAAATAGCAAAAGCAGGGGTGGAAGCAGGACCGTAGTATGTATGCCTCTTTGGTTTTTGAGTAGAGAGGAAGTATATTATGTAGGTTGAGGAGAACAACAAAGGAAGAGAGATATATTTGCCACATCCTTTGTTGAGATTCTGGGATGAAAGTGCTTTGCAGGGCAGCTTCCTGCCAGCACAGGATGACCCTAGCTTTGTTATCAGGATGAAATGGTGTGGTTAGGCAGAGAGAGGATATAGTTTTCATTCCAGATCTCCCTTGGTCCACATGTGACATGGACACTGAGATTAGGCTTGCAACAAGCTTGTCATTGCAGGGGTGCAGTGACCCATAGCAAAGGCTTGACTTGGGTGAGGTATAAATAGACAGTCTAAGAAGAGATGAAGACATGACAAGAACTAAATGAGTTCTACCATACTAGTGATAGTTGAGATTGGACCCTATCCAGGTTCAGAGAGAATAGACTATATGTTCATGAAGCACAAATGTCAGTGGCCACAGAACAGCTAGGAATGAGGTCAGCAGTACAAGGGCACTGACCAAGATCCCTGGCCAAGTACCTTTTCCTCAATGTCACAGTCCAGTGAGCCCCTCACTCATATACTAAGATACCATGGTAGAAAGAAACAGAAAGGCTGTGCATTTTTACTCCAAACAAAGCTTAAAACACAATGGATTAATATGAATTTTTTTCATTACACAGGGTTTGAGGATCTCATGAGAAATATCAGAACTATATAAAAATAAAAAGCTACTTTTTTTTCACATCCATGTTATAGTGTAATTAAATTTGTATCTACTATAAAAATGCAATTGTATTCTCTCCATTCATTTTTCATTGTCTTCCTCTCCATTTGACTGTGAACTTGCAGCAGATAGGGCATGTGCTCAAGGTCTGAATGTGACCTTGTGTCACATGTGTATGACCTTGTCTGAATGTGAATGTGACTAGCTGAGCAGTCTTAGAATGGTCATTGGATTGTAGTATGGGCCTAGATGGCCATAATAAGCCAGAATAAATTCATTCTGGTCTACAAGAAAATAAAAGGCAGAACTCTTCTTAGAAACATCTTTGAACAAAATAAAATAAAAAATTTTAAATAAATTACCTTTTATTAACTTAATCTTCTAAGTGACCAACCAAATCAAATGATCCCCTAGGTTTTTTTTTTTCGGTTTGAGCTGAAATTATAAAAGATTTTCACAAAAGACACATATATATTATGGCATTTAGAAAATACTTTGTATAAAATATTTTTCAATGTAAAATAACACGGAAAGTACTTGGTATTGTGCTTGATCTGTAGTAGCTATTCAGTAAAAACTTCTTTTTTTTTTGCTGTACACGGGCCTCTGTTGTGGCCTCTCCCGTTGTGGAGCACAGGCTCCGGATGCACAGGCTCAGCGGCCATGCCGCTCCGCGGCATGGGGGATCTTCGCGGACCGGGGCACGACCCCGTGTCCCCTGTATCGGCAGGCGGACTCTCAACCACTGCGCCACCAGGGAAGCCCAGTAAAAACTTCTTAAGTGAACAAGATAGAACTGGAAAAGACTGAGATCAAGGATTTAATGTTTGGCTAACATGAAACTGGTCTTGGGGGACTTTTGTTGAAGAAAGGCATTCCCAAATTTGCAAATCTCTCTAAAATGAAAAGTCATTATTAGCCAGTAGGAAGCCTCAAATGGTTAAACACTTGGTATGGAGAGAGGTCAGTTAGCACATGCCAAACAGACTTTGCCACCTGGCATGAATAAAGTGTCCAAGGCGGAACTCTTCCAAATATGCCTGCTGGCCACTCCAGCATTTCTCTACTTTCTTAAACATGTTCCCAGACACACATGCTGTTGGCAATAAATTCAGTTTTTTTCTTGTCCTCAAGTAGTTTGTATCCTAGTGCAATGTTTCCCAACCTTTTCCACATAATGACAGACATATTAATTAATAGTCTTTGTTCAGTACACTGAGATAAACACTTGAGAACACTTGTAGCCTGGCTACCATGGGGCCAACTCCATAGTTTTGAAGGCTGAAGGATCAGCATTTCAGCACACCTATAACCCTCTCTGAGCACAAAATTACCACAGTTTATTAGTTAGGAAGCTCTGCTCTAGAGAGAGGAAATAGACAATAAACAAACCAACCAAGCAACAAAACATATATATATATAATAATTTCAACTACTTGTAAGTATTACAGAAAAATATAAACATGATACTTCATCTAAGGTGGCTATGGGAGACCTCTCTCAGGAGGGGATATTTGAGTTGAAATCTGAGAAAGGGAAGGAGGCAGCCAGGTGAAGAGCTGGGGGAATAGCAAGTGTAAAGGTCTGAGTATGAAACCATCTTGGAATGCTCACTGGAAGGCCAGTGTGGCTGGAGTGCAGTGATGAGGAGAGTGGAGTAAGATGAGATGAGACAGGTGTCAGGGGCCAAAACATAAGGGCACATGTAGAACAGCCCACCACTGCTATCAAGGAACATTTCAGAGAAGATGTGACATCTGAGTAGAACTTAAAGGATAATGCGGTCAACAGAGGGTTGCCTACTTAAGAGTCTTTTTCCCCCCTTTTTTGCTAACAGAACTCCGATCCTATTCATTTTTCTCCAAGCAACCCTGTCCTCCAAGGGAGGCTGAGCACCTTCCTAAATCAAGGGAATGAATCTGGAATAATCTAAGCCTGTGCTTTTCAAAATGTGAGCTTCAACCCATCAATTTAGACAATAAATCAATTTAGCATCTCCTGACCAACATTTAAAAGAGTAGAATAGAATAGAGTGTATCACATAGATCCTTAGTAACAATTGTTCAAAACACTAAAATACTGCAATCAATTTCAACTAACAGAAAGACAAATAATTAGGGGTCTATGAATCTGAATCTTCTGCTTCACAGATAGATAGATACATATAGATATTAATATAGATATCAATCATTGTGATATAAAAAGTATTTCATGCTGTGGGTTGTGTTAAAAGCTGATAATGATTTACTGGTTTTTAGATATGAGTGTATAAAGCTATTCTAGCCAAAGAGACACCAGGGGAGGTCTGCTGGAGGGCTTTGGGGAGCATTTTCCTCATTCTTACAAAAGGGTCAAAGAGGGACTTCCCTGGTGGTCCAGTGATAAAGAATCTGCCTCACAATGTAGGGGACGCAGGTTCCATCCCTCGTCAGGGAACTAAGATCCCACATGCCACGGTGCAACTAAGCCCGTGTGCCACAGCTACTGAGCTTGCACACCTCGACTAGAGCCCGTGTGCTGCAAACTACAGAGCCCTTGCGCCCTGGAGCCTGTGCACCACAACTAGAGAGAGAAAACCCGCATGCCACAACTAGAGAGAAGTCCGCGCACCACAAGGAAGAGCCTGCACACCACAACGAAAGATCCCACATGCCTCAATGAAGATCCTGCGTTCCAACTAAGACCCCACGCAGCCAAAAATAATAAATAAAATAAATCTTTAAAAGAAAAAAAGGGTCAAAGAGCTTTTCTCCTTTTCAGTGGGTGCTGTTACCAGTTATCTTCAATAGTGGTCACCATCTTGTACAACAAGGCTAGGAGGACAAGCTAGTTGCTGAGACAGTAGAGGCAAGTTGAGGAAAGATGGAGAAGATGGATATTTGATGGCATCATTAAACCCTTGAATTGACCTGGAGCTGCCTTATTGATGGACTTCTTGTTATTTGAGATTATAAATATCTTTTTTGTCTAAATCATATGTAGTTAGTTTTCTTTTAATTGCAGTTAAAAGTGTCCCAACTATTCAAGATGAATAGGAATCTATCAGGAGAAGTATGTTCTGAGCATAAAGAACAGAGTGGGTCAATAACACAGTAGTTGGAACAGACTGCTGTGATTAGACTCAGTATAAGCAAAGGACAGAATAGACGACTGGAAAGATATTGTATGCCATACTAAGGAATCTAAGCTTTACCATTTTTGTTATAGAGTCTTCAGATGTTATTAAGTAGTGAAATAATGTGGTAATATGATTAGACACTGATATTCCTTAGCTAAAGATTTTCTTAATGCCTATATCTTAAAGTTAGATGCAGTTAATTTTCAGTTACTTCAATATAAACACACAATGTGTATACCTGTAAATAGAGTCTTTTTCATTCTTATAAGCATTAGACTGAATGCTGGGTACAGGAGAAAAGATTGTAGAACCCAATGTTCTTCTACATTGTTGTTGTCTATGCTGTGAACACAGTTCATGGAAGGGCTTAGCATGTTCTGCCTAAACATAAAGAAAAGGGGAAACTATCTTAGAAATTATTTTTTCCATGTCTATATTGATAAATAATTTATACTTGATTATTCATATTTGGAATAGCTAATTATAATAACTAACAGCTGACTAGATCTTTAAATAATTTCAAATATAATGATTATTTAATCCTCAAAAAAAAAGCCCTATGAAATAGATGTTATTACCACTTCTTAGATGAGGGAACAAAGCTACAGAAATTTAAAAATTTGCCTATGCTCACACTTTTTACTAACTTTTATTTTCTTTGTCTCTAAAACTTAGCCATTATTTTCATATAAAATGTAATTCTCCAAATGCAGAGAAAGTCTAAAGTTTAAGTACTGAGAAAAAAAAGCCCTCTTTGTTTAAACAGAAACTTTACTGTCTCATACACAGAGCATGTACAGCAGAATAGTTCTGAGTAAAGGGGGAGACACTGAAAAAAAGTGATACAGCTTTACCTAGTGTCTCAGATTGTCTCTGTATATTTCTATTTAAATATAATTATTTAGATACCCAAAATAAACATACATATGTAAGTATAAACTGCATAACTTGTGACTGTCCATCAACCAACCAAATATTCGTTTAGTACCTACAATTTTTTTTCACACTAGGTACGGAATATATTTCATTCTGGATAATATGAGATAAAAATTTTAAATATGACAAAACAGGCCATAAAGAATTCACATTCTAAATATATATGATTAGCATGCATGATTCATTGGCAAATAATGTAATAAGATAATATCACTGAGAACCAAACCAATCAATACAATCTTTAAATGAGGAGGAGTTTAGAAGAGAGGGCTGGAATAGACAGGAAACATTTCATCAGTGAGGAAGAACTTAATGCTGGGATTTGGAGATAAGGACATATCAGGAGAGGCCAACAACATACGTCCAGGGTATTCATAAGACAATCAACAGCATATTCAAAGCCAGGTGGGGCAGGGGAGCATTTATCATTTGTAGTGTATAAAGGGTAAGTTTCAATAGTCAAGAAGGATGGTTGTGAGAGGGATAGACTATCGATGTCTTCAGAGTCAAACAGATAAACTTTAACTTAAAGAAAAATGGCCAAAATTGACTTGAGAAGAAGTAGAAAATTGGAGCATACCAATAATTCTTAAAAGAAATGTAAAGAAGTTTCAAATAACTACCTTTAAAAAAGTAACCCAGCCCAAATAGATTTATACATAGGTTCTTCCAAATTTTTATGCAACAAACAATTCTTATGCAATATAATGTCAGTTAAATTAAAAAATAAATAACAACAAAGACTTTTCAGTTCTTTTTATAGCTGACGTAGTCTTGACACCAAAGTCTGAAAAGATAATGCACCAGAAGAAGCCTACAAGCTAATTTCACATATGACTTCAGGTGATTTCACAAATTCAAAATAAAATACTACTCAACACTGTACTAATGGAACAATTTGTAATGGCCAAACAAAATTATCAAGAAATTAAAAGCTCCTAATAGTTCTAAGTTATTATAATTTATCTCCCAATAGATCAAAGGAGAAAAATAATGTAATTATTTTAATAGCTGTAATATTTAAAATACATTTGATAAATTCAGTAACCATCATTGATAAGAACTGTAATAAAACTAAAGAGAATACTTTCTTAATATGATAAAGAATATCTTAGCAAAATTAAAAAATTTATACCCATATAAAACCAATAACTAATATTATGGTTAATGACAATACGCTAGTGTGTAGCATGACAATAGTGACACCTATCATCACTATTATTTATAGATGTTTAGGAAATATTGAGCAATGCAGTAGGAAAAAATAAAGGAAGTAGTAAAAACTCTGGAAAATTCTTATTCAATATGGCTGAGTAAGCCTCTATCAGAGCCACTCTCCCTCAGATAAAAACTATAAACTCTAGACAAAATATTCTAGAAAACACACACACATACACACACACACAAGTTGCCTGAAGGTCCTTGAGAATGAACAAAAGCAGGTGACAAAGAAAAAGCATTGAAACTTGGAATTACTGACTTGCGTAGAGTGAAGTTTCTATTTTTATGGCTTTTAGTTTGAAGGCAGGCCAAAGTATAGGACATCTAAATCTCTGATAGAAAACTTAAGTTCTTTCTGGCCAGAAGAACCAGAGGAAAAAGTTCAGGCTGACCAAAACTTCTGGGAAATGAGAAGGGAATGATAGAAAGAAGAATGCCAAAGATGATAGCCCCATCTTTTATGTATAAACCCTGTCCAAGTCTCTTGCTGACCCATGAACAATGCATGTTTAGGGAAAACTGCAAGCAGCACAGCTAAGGATATAACAACTGAACTGAAATTTGAGCTGCTGCTATAAAGACAGAGTATATTTTGAGCCCAACCAAGTTAGCTGACTGCTAAAACAGTAACATCATGACTCTTTGTAGGAATATAACAGACTCTGGAGTCTCCACATTATAATAGTTGTGGTGTCCAGGATAAATCCAACTTAACAAACAAAGACCAGGAAAATGAAACCTAGTCTCAACAGAGAAGGCTATCAATCAAAACCAACCTTGAAATGACACAGATGTTGGAATTATCAGATTTTATGGCAGCTATTATAATTATGCTCAATGAAAAAAGTGAAATATGTTCACAGTGAATGAAAAAAAAGGAAATCTTAGAGAAATACAAACTATTTTTAAAAATGGAAATTCTAGAACCGAAAATATATAATACCTGAAGTAAAAAAACTCACTTGTTGACTTTAAAACAGAATGGAGACATCAGAGCAAAGAGTCAGGGAACTTTAATACAGACCAATAGAAGCTACCCAATATGAAAAAAGAGAGGAGAATTTTTTTTTTTTTTTTAGAGGGATTCAGAGACATATGTGTCCCTGTGAGAAAACAATAATGAAAAGTCTGAGCCTGCTCACCTACCCTGTGATCTCAGGCCACAAGTCTCTGGACAGGAGGCTGGCTGCTGTAGGAACTCAATAAATACTTGCTGAACTCAAAAAAGAAAAAAAGAAAAGTCTGATATATGTGTAACAAGAATCCCAGAAGGACAGGAAAGGTAGAATGGTGTAGAAAAATATTTAAATAAATAGTGGTCAGATGAAATATGATCTTAATTTGATGAAAGACATAAATTTATAAATTCCAGAAGCTTAATGAACGCTAAGCAGAATAATTAAGAAGAACACCATGCTTAAGCACATAATCAAACTGCTGAAAACCAAGTATGAGGAAAACATCTTTAAGCAGCCAGAGAAAAACAAGTTATACACACAGGGGAACAATTCAAAATACCCCTGACTTCTCATCAGAAACTATGGCGGTCAGAACTGTGAAGGCCAGTAGATGTTGGAACATCATCAATATGCTGAAAGAAAAAACAATTATCAGCCAAAATTTTGTGTCAAGCAAAAATTTCCTTCAGAATATCCTTAAGACACTTTCAGGTAAAAGAAAACAGAGAATTTGTTGCCAGCAGACCTTCACTACAAAATATACTTAAGGGAGTTCTTCAGGATAAAGGGAAATGATACCAGATGGAAATATATCTTCAGGAAGTACTGAAGAGTATCAGATCTGGTTGTACTTTGTTATTTTTTTACTCTATTACTTTCTTTAAAACATATAGAAGTGTTGAAAGCAAAAATTATAATATTGTCTTATGGGGTTTATAGTAATACATGAAAACTATATTATGAAAGACAGGGTTAGTAAATGGATTTATACAATTTAAAGGCTTCTAAATCTTTATGTGAAATAGTACAATTTTACTCTAAGTAGGCTTTGAAAAGTTGATGATGTATATTTTAATCCCTAAAGATACCACTAAAATATCCAAACACAAAGAGGTACAGCTAAAAGTCAATAAATTAAAATGAAATGTTAAAAAATATTCAAATTATCCAAAAGAAGGCAGGAAAAGAAGAACAGAGGAACAAAAAAATGGAAAGACAAACAACCCCTGCAATATTAATCTTAAATTCATTCATATCAAAAATTACATTAAATATTAATGGACTAAACATTCCAATTAAAAGAAATTTTCAGAATAGGAAAAAAGCAAGGCCCAGTTATATGCTGTTTATAAGAAATGTACTTTAAATGTAAGTTGAAAGTAAATTGTTGGAAAAATATATACTGTGTAAACAGGATGCATATGGTGACTTTATTAATATCAGACAAAATAGACTTCAAGACATAGTATTTGCAGAGATAAAGGTGATCAATTCATCAGTAAGACATAAAAGTCATAAATATGTATGTACCTGATAACAGAGCTGTAAAATACATGAAGCAAATTGACAGAATAAAATGGAGAAACAGGCAATTTTATAATAATAGAGGTTTTAACACCCATATCTCAGCAACTGGTAGAATAACTAGCTAAAAACTCACTAAAGATACAGATGATCTGAACAAAACTATCACCTTAACCTAATTTATAGGTATAGTTACATATTTATACATCTATAACATATAGATATGTTAATATGTTTATAAATATATACTTATAGAATACACCCTATAACTGCCAAATACACATTCTATTCAAGTGCACATAATACTTTCAATAAAACAAACCATATGCTGAATCTTAAAACAAGTCTCAATAAGTTTAGAAAGATTGAAATCCTACAGAACATATTCTCTAACCACAATGAAAATTAGAAATCAATAAAGTAAGATATCTAGAAAGACTCCAAATATTTGGAACTTCTACAACACACTTTTGCAGGATTCATGTTTTAAGGAAGAAATCATAGAAGAAATCAGATAATTTTTCAAACTGAATGACAGTGTAAATATAACATATTAAAATGAATGGAATTTTAGTTAATGGCACCGTCATTTTTCCAGTTTTCCAAAAAAGAAATTTGGGGATTATTATTCTAAGCACCATATCCAGTCACTTAAAAAATTCTGTCAAGTTTAACTATTTAATTTCTTGTGTTTTTTTTGCCTTAAAAATGTTTTTTTATTGAGGTAACATTGGTTTATAA